CGAGGCTGGGGCTCTGCCCACATCTGTGAATGACCTGTGAATGAGAGAACTACAAGTACCATCAGCCATTGCATCTGATGGATTGTAATTTAGAATGGACTGCAAAGGCACTGATGAGTGCTCTGTAGATCATTCACAAGCCCTGCAGCTTGTAAATAGTCAGCCTGGAGGGGCTGAACACTCCAGGGATTGTCTGCAGGAGCCTGGCATTGCAACCCCGATTCACTGATCAAGGGAAAAAAATAATAAATGCACATTTTTTTTTACGCACAAAAATATGTGCATTTATATTTTTTTTCCCCAAAAGGTGAACTTATCCTTTAAATAGGAGCAATTTGTATTTAAAAGAAAGAAGTTGCTTTAACTGATATCACATATAGGTGGAAGCTCCACCCTTTTGTCTGCAGATTATGGAAACAGAATAGATACAAAAGTAACAATGTTTATTAAAAAATGTTAATTTGTACTTCATATTTTGTCTGAACAATGTTTATAAACAATGTTACTTTGTATCTCCTGTCTGATTAATGTTTATAAAGAATGTTACTTTGTATCTTTTGTGATAGAGGGAATCTCTGTCACTGTGAGAATATAGGAAAATGTGACCCAGGATTCACATTTAGGGTTAATGTGAAGTTCCAGATTACTGTTTCTGAGCAGAGAAAGCTGTGTTTTTGGCTTTCTCTGGATTCTGTGATTCTGGATTGGAACTTTCAATCCTGTGTTTTGCCAGATGCCTGCAACCTATTTGTGTGTATAGGTGTGCAGGATTGTTGTATAGACAGGTCTGAGGAACGCCAATTTTGAGACCGCTCATAGAGGGGAAGATGGAAACTGATCAAAAACTGATCAGCGTGAACTAGGGTTGCCACCTCACCCCTTTAAAACCAAGCACATATTAATTACACAAGTTCTGGGGCTAATTTATTGCAGATAGGCATTAAGTGTATTTAATTACCACCTTAATCAGCCACAAAACCTGTGTAATTAATGTGTTCGGGTTTAAAGGGGTGAGGTGGCAACCCTACCTGGGGTCTGAGGTGCCCCAGCTAGAGGCCAAGAAACAGAGGGCCTCACCGAGGGGTCAGAGGTGCACCAGCCAGATGCCAAGAGACAGGGGGGTCAGAGGTGCCCCAGCTAGAGGCCAAGAAACAGAGGATCTCACCAAGGGGTCAGAGGTGCCCCAGCCAGATGCCAAGAGACAGGGGGGTCAGAGGTGCCCCAGCTAGAGGCCAAGAAACAGAGGATCTCACCGAGGAGTCAGAGGTGCCCCAACCAGATGGCAAGAGACAGAGGGGTCAGAGGTGCCCCAGCTAGAGGCCAAGAAACAGAGGATCTCACCGAGGAGTCAGAGGTGCCCCAACCAGATGGCAAGAGACAGAGGGGTCAGAGGTGTCCCAGCTAGAGGCCAAGAAACAGAGGATCTCACCGAGGAGTCAGAGGTGCCCCAACCAGATGGCAAGAGACAGAGGGGTCAGAGGTGCCCCAGCTAGAGGCCAAGAAACAGAGGAGATCACCAAGGTGTCAGAGGTGCCCCAGCCAGATACCAAGAGACAGAAGGTCTCACCAAGGGGTTAGAGGTTTTCCAGCCAGAAGCCAAGAGACAGAGGGGTCAGAGGTGCCCCAGCCAGAAGCTGAGAGACAGAGGGTCTCACCAAGAGGTCAGAGGTGCCCCTGCCAGAAGCCGAGAGACAGAGGGGTCAGAGGTGCCCCAGCCAGAAGCCGAGAGACAGAGGGTCTCACCAAGGGGTCAGAGGTGCCCCAGCCAGAAGTCAGGAGACAGCAGGTCTCAGTTCCAGGAGTCAGGTCAACCCCAATCCATAGGCCAGAGGTGGGTCATGCAGCAGGGCACTGCAACTAAAGGCTAAAGTGCCAAGTGTTCCAGGAGAGCTGGACAATGCAGTCAAAGGGACTGGTGAGACAAGCAGCAGTGCTGCCAAGTGAGCCAGGTGGCTCGATATTTTGTTTGTGCATATTTGTTACCCATAGTAGAATTGGACTATAATTGAGTCCCCCAGTGATATGATAGGAGACCCCAAACTCATTTTGAGGAACTATTCTACATAGAAGCAGCGTGATGTCTAGATCTAATGAGCGGGCGGTTTATAAGACGCTAACCTGCCATGGAATAACAGATTCTGTAATGCTTTTTTCCTACGTCTAACCCCGCCTTAACCTGCGTACCGCCATTAGGCGCTCTCAGCTCCGGTTTCGGCAAAAGCCTGTAAGGTCATTTGACTTGTATAAATAACGGCCAACCGCTGCAAATTACACTGACTATTGTAGTTGGCACCGATCGAACATAACAAGATTTCTGTGTTTTTAATTCGAGGAATTGCGGCCAGTTTTGTTTGCCAAATATCAGGCAAACCAAGCGTGAAGCGTCATGAAGTGTGATTTTGTGGGCCGTAAATGTACAAGCTATTTGGAGCTTACATTAATCAGAAATTTTATACAGGGAATATAAACTGTTTTACAAGCCGATGTCTGGAACGGCGTGCACGCTAATTATTTCGTACGTATCCTAATCACGAAATGGAGGGTGGTAATTTGAAAAACGTCCTTTTGCTATTTCAGTAGTGAAAGAGAAACTACAAGCAGCAAGTCAGGGCAGCCCAAGCACTGATATTGGGCTAAAGTCACAGAGTCCTCTAACTTTTATTGGAACGAACCTGTCAGTATGTCGTTGGGATCCATCATTGTCGTAACGCGGAGTTCCAGCTGAAAAAAAAAAAAAAAAGTCAGCAGCTACAAAAACTGTAGCTGCTGACTTTTAAAATACAGCCACTTACCTGTCCCTCGGTCTAGTGGTGTCCTCACCATCATTGGTTTCACCAGCCGTCTTCTCTCCCTGGCGCTGGCATCTTCATTGTGGGCACCCGGCTGTGACAGCTTGCGGCTTCACAGCCGGGTGCTAACTGAGAATGTGCAAGAAGCGCTTTGTGAATGGCCCCATAGTCGTCTATTATTATTATTATTATACAGCATTTATATAGCGCCAAAGGGTATGCTCAGCGCTGTACAGTAGCAAGGGGGACAGAACATGAGACAAGACAGTAACAATACAATACACGAGGGGTTCGAGGGCCCTGCTCTTTCGAGCTTACAATCTAGGAGGGAGGGGAAGGTGGCACAGGAGGAGATGGCTGTGGGGGATGGAGTGGTGGGAGGAGTGGAGGAGGTTAGTTGTTAGGTGAGGTTGGGTGTTAGGTGAGGTTGGGGTAGGCCTCCCTGAAGAGGAGGGTTTTCAGGGTGCGCCTGAAGGTGAGGAGGGTAGGTGACAGTCTGATGGATTGGGGTAGGGAGTTCCAGAGGATGGGGGAAGTCCTGGAGAAGTCCTGCAATTGGGCATGGGAGGAGGAGACCAGGGAGCTAGAGAGTAGGAGGTCCTGTGAGGAGCGGAGGGCACGGGTAGGGTAGAATCTGGGTATCAGGTCAGTTATGTTGTTCGGGGCGGCACTGTAATTTTTAGGAATAACTTAAATCTGTCCAAACAAGAGTCTAGTAAACATTCCAGGTATGATAAAGTTCGAAACATGAAATCATAAACTATAATATAGTAAATAATTAAAAAAAAATCCAATTCAATAATGTAATCGAACCAAAAACACTGAAATGTGAAATATAGCGCCAAGTTCGCACATCGCTGAGCAAAGTCGCAGAATAGTTTTCACTGTCTGATGAGGAATTTCCCCCACGAATCATTATCACTCAATTCTGCAAGTGGTTCTAATTTACTATCGCTGTTCTCTAGCCGGTCTAAAACCGTTTTTGACCTAAAGGGCCGCTTTTTGAACAGAAAGAACGGTAAAAGTGCAGGCAGAGCGATGGACAAAGCAGCAGGGACAAAATTTTGGTGAAATGGTTTGATACAGTAATGGAATCCTAACAGATTACAATGTATTGTGTGTATGTCATGTTTTTACTTTTTTGAATCTCCGGCCAGTTTCCCCCCCACATACCAACACTCACAGGGAATGGAATCCGGAAGACAGATGCCGGTATTGGCCAGAGGACACAACAGGAGGACATCAGGGGATTGCAGGACAAGGTAAGGATTGAGGGATTGCAGAACAAGGTAAGGATTGGGGGATCCCAGGACAAGGTAAGGATCGGGGGATCGCAGGACAAGTTAAGGAGCGGGGGATCGCAGGACAAGGTAAGGATCGGGGGATCTCAGGACAAGTTAAGGAGCGGGGGATCGCAGGACATGGTAAGGATCGGGGGATCGCAGGACAAGTTAAGCAGCGGGGGATCACAGGACATGGTAAGGATCGGGGGATCGTAGGACATGGTAAGGATCGGGGGGATCGCAGGACAAGGTAAGGATCGGGGGATCGCAGGACAAGTTAAGGATCGGGGGATCACAGGACAAGTTAACCACTTCCAGACCGGACACTTTTACCCCCTTCCTGACCAGGGCAATTTTCAGCTTTTAGCGCTATCACACTTTGAATGACAATTGCGCAGTCATGCAACACTGTACCCAAATGAATTTTTTACCATTTTTTTGAGATAGATAAAGCTTTATTTTGGTGGTATTTATTCACCTCTGGGATTTGTATTTTTTTTGCTATGTAAATGAAATGTCCAAAAATTTTGAAAAAAAGTTGGTTAAACCACTTTTTTTTTTTTTTTATACAATTTTGAAAATAAATAATATTTCATCATAAATCTTAGCCAACATTTATTCCGTTATCTTTTTAGTAAAAAAAAAAAATCCAAATTAGTTTATAAGCAAAAATTATAATTTTTAAACATTTTTTTTTTACATTTTTATTTTATTTTTTTATATTATTTTTTATTTTTTTAATTTTTTTTACATACTGTCACCCTAGCAGTACAGTGTCACCATGGTGACACTGTACTACTTGTGAGGGGTGATGAAGATTTTTTTTTTTTTTTTTTTACACTGATTGCTTTTACACCCATATAGGATGTAAAAGCAATCATTTCTCTTTCTCTCTGTGTGCATTCTTGCACTCATTGAGAAGAACTGAGTGAGCTGTGATTGGTCACAGCTTGTCACATGGTACAAGGCTTTTGTGAATAGCCTTGTACCATGTGACCTCTGTGATCATTCACAGATTTCACACATAGTAAGCAATGATGTCAGAAGTGACATCTTGCTTACTACTTTGCATGTGATCACTGATTGGCTCGTACAGAGGTCCCGTCCGACGATCGGTGTTTCACTGTGTCCGGAGGACACAGCGGGCACGGGATCGCGGTGCTGCGCGCTCCCAGGGAGCGCGCACAAGCAGGGTGCGGCGGGGAGGCCGTTTATAGACGTGCCACCGTCCGGCCGTTTATATACAACGGCCGGTCGGGAAGTGGTTAAGGATCAGGGGATCGCAGGACAAGTTAAGGATCGGGGGATCACAGGACAAGTTAAGAATCGAGGGATCACAGGACAAGTTAAGGATCGAGGGATCACAGGACAAGTTAAGGATCGAGGGATCACAGGACAAGTTAAGGATCGAGGGATCGCAGGACAAGGTAAGGATCGGGGGATCGCAGGACAAGTTAAGGATCGGGGGATCACAGAAAAAGTTAAGGATCGAGGGATCGCAGGACAAGGTAAGGATCGGGGGATCGCAGGACAAGGTAAGGATTGGGGGATCGCAGGACAAGGTAAGGATCGGGGGATGGCAGGACAAGGTAAGGATCAGGGGATCGCAGGACAAGGTAAGGATCGGGGGATGGCAGGACAAGGTAAGGATCAGGGGATCGCAGGAGAAGCACTATAGAGTAATCTTGAGTGTGGCTCGAGGTTACCACTTTTGGTAAATTAACCCAGAGCCACACTCGGGATTACCGCCAGGGAGGTTAAAGGGGTGAGGTGGCAACCCTATTTCACGCTAATCATTTTTTCAAAATGTACGGCTCAAATCGCACAGCACAGAATTTGCATGTGATTTGCACAGGAATGCGGTGTGGTTCCTGTGCGAATCACATTCGATATCAGTGTGAACCTGCGCTCAATAAATCCACCGGTAAGCTTTCACTTTATAAAAACACCACTTGTGCTCCTCCACCTGCTAGCATGCATGCTCACCTCCAGGTTTGACCTATAGGCTATATACAGTAGGTCTCATTCGCTATTCATAGATGAATCTCCAAACAGATCTCTAAAGTCTCCCCTCATCTGTGGCTTCCTTATAGTCTCCTTTCCGATCAGCCAGTGCTCAAAACATAAGCAGCAAAGGACTTCCCATAGTGTAATATGTACTTTTTAATGAATAAAAGGCAAATAAAAACTACTTACATTTAAAGACAGGTCTACAGACCCATACAAGAATGTACATTTGTATACCCAGGGCTGGGTGTACCAAGATGGTGGCCGCTGTCCATAACCAGAAATGACATCACCACACTTCCGCTCGACGCGTTGCATCACAAATAATGTGACTTCCTCAACCTGATCTTTTAGGAATTCTTTAATCCAGTCTTTTATCAATCTTTCATCACTTACATATCACTGCACATGATTGGAATTAGACACAAGTCTGAGGTTTACAACCACTTTAAGGGAATGGGGGGGGGGGGGGGGTGCTAAAGGCAGCCATAGTGACTGACCTAGGCAGATACAAAACCTACTGTGCTCAGAGACCCAGATCACAATACAGCGGGTAGAACCATAGGTTCATCCAATGGCAAATGAAAGGTTGTCCAGCTTAACCTCTTCTCGCCGGCCGCACACACAAATGTGTGGCCTCCCGGCATCTGGGTCTTGACACCGAGCGGCCGCACATTTAAGAAAATTAAGAAAAACACACTGAGAGCACGCTCCCAGCCTCCCAGCACACATGACCGGTACTCACAGAAAGGTCCCGATCTCCTCTTTTCATAGGAACCTTTGCCAATCATGCGACCGCCGTGACTCACGAAGGTCACATGACCTTAAAACCGCGCCCTGCCTCCCGGCTTCTGAAGCCCTTAAAGGGCTGGGAGGCGCCGGCGCCAAGGGGTTAAACACAAGGCTGTGGAAGCCCTATAGAAACTGTAACGAAGAACAAAAACTAAATGCGTACCAACCTTGCGCATTACCTTGGTGAGTAAAGGGTGAATTTATTAAATTGAGATATATACTCACTACAGTAGCATAGGTAAAAGCATATAAAATCCAACATCAGCGTACTAGAATACGAGACAGGTGAGGGTCCCATTGAGAGGAGAGACTCTCAGAATGAAGCTGACGTGTTTTGAAGGGAGATCCCTTCTTCCTCAGAGCTCTCAGAATGAAGCTGACACGCTTTTCAAAGGGAGATCCCTTCTTCCTCAGAGCTCTCAGAATGAATCTGACGCTTTTCAAAGGGAGATCCCTTCTTCCTCAGAGCTCTCAGAATGAAGCTGATGCTTTTCGAAGGGAGATCCCTTCTTCCTCAGAGCTCTCAGAATGAAGCTGACACTTTTCGAAGGGAGATCCCTTCTTCCTCAGAGCTCTCAGAATGAAGCTGACACTTTTCAAAGGGAGATCCCTTCTTCCTCAGAGCTCTCAGAATGAATCTGATGCTTTTCGAAGGGAGATCCCTTCTTCCTCAGAGCTCTCAGAATGAATCGGACGCTTTTCGAAGGGAGATCCCTTCTTCCTCAGAGTTCTCAGAATGAATCGGACGCTTTTCGAAGGGAGATCCCTTCTTCCTCAGAGTTCTCAGAATAAATCTGACGCTTTTCGAAGGGAGATCCCTTCTTCCTCAGAGCTCTCAGAATGAAGCTGACACTTTTCAAAGGGAGATCCCTTCTTCCTCAGAGCTCTCAGAATGAAGCTGATGCTGTTTCGAAGGGAGATCCCTTCTTCCTCAGAGCTCTCAGAATGAAGCTGACGCTTTTCGAAGGGAGATCTTCTTCTTCCTCAGAGCTCTCAGAGACTGAATCTGACAAGCTTTTCGAAGGGAGATCCCTTCTTCCTCAGAGCTCTCAGAATGAAAGCGCTTTTCGAAGGGAGATCCCTTCTTCCTCAGAGTTCTCAGAATGAATCTGACGCTTTTCGAAGGGAGATCCCTTCTTCCTCAGAGCTCTCAGAATGAATCTGACACGTTTCGAAGGGAGATCCCTTCTTCCTCAGAGCTCTCAGAATGAAGCTGCCGCTTTTCGAAGGGAGATCCCTTCTTCCTCAGAGCTCTCAGAATGAAGCTGACGTGTTTCAAAGGGAGATCCCTTCTTCCTCAGAGCTCTCAGAATGAAGCTGACGTTTTCGAAGGGAGATCCCTTCTTCATCAGAGCTCTCAGAATAAAGCTGATGTTTCCGAAGGGAGATCCCTTTTTCCTCAAAGCTCTGAGAAGAAGGGATCTCCCTTCGAAATGTGTCAGCTTCATTCTGAGAATCTCCCCTCTTGGTGGGACCTGCCCCTGTCTTGTATTCTAGCATGCTGATGTTGGATTGTATATACTTTTACCTTTGCTACTTTAGTGAGTATATATCTCAATTTAATAAATCCCTTCACCCTTTACTCAGTGAATTAATGCGCAAGGTTGGTGCGCTTTTTCTTTTGTTCTCCATTACAGTGACTGATCTAGGCTCCAGGCTGTGGCGTTATGGGGTTGTAATGAATCAAAATTAATTTTTTGGTGAAATGATAAGGAGGATTTTTTATGTGGCTGTTTATATAATTCTGGTACGGAGTGCCTTTTATCAGCAGTCAGTTAGCAGTGCATGTTTACTTGATTTCCCATCTTACCATATTGACTGAGTAGAAGCCGTATTGACACCCGTCCTGGAATCCACCCGAGAGATTTCCATCTACAATACAGTGACCTGAATTTTCAGATCCAGGAATGACGCTGAAGGGAGATCCTTCTCACCTGTGGGAGAAGTTCTTCTTTGGGCGAAAGCGATTACCAAGAGGAAAACCCAGCTTTTATGTCACGCTGTGACACGGGGACCGGCTCCGTCGTTTCGGGAACTCTCCCTCGCTTTGCACAGCAACGGGAAGCATAATGTGCTGAAGAGATGTCAGGTTTAATTAGCCGCATTGAAGATTAAAGGGCCCTTGTTCTCCCAGACTTCGCTCTGCGAATTTTGCATCCTTGTAACCTACTTTTAAAAAAATGCACCTGGCTGACTTAATGAGTTCCTTTCTCTGCGACTTTTAGAAGAAATGTTCTTGGGCAACGTCCGGGATCTGAGCCACATTTTTTTGAATTTCAAGGCTGGTCATTCAGTACACACACACACACACACATGTGCATTTCTCCCTTTTTTTTTGTCTCAATTTAAATTTTGTTCTTCCAAAATTTCCACTGATGAAGATACATCCCGTATTTCACATTGTATATGATTTGTTGTTGAAGAAGATGGGATTTTAATGTCATGGGCAATTATAATCTATCACAATGAATCAATACAATGGGCAGCACAGTGGCTAAAATGGTTAGCACTTCCGCCTGGCAGTACTAGGGTCGTTGGTTTGAATCCCAACCACAGCACCAGAATGCCTGGAGTTTGCATGTTCTCCCTGTGCCTGCGTGGGTTTCCTCTGGGTACTTTGGTTTCTTCCCACACTCCAAAGACATGCTGGTAGGTTAATTGGTTCCTGTCTAAATCGACCTAGTATGTGTATGTACCCATATGGAAGAAAAATATATTTTAAAAAATATTCTTCCCCAAATATATTGACATATATTTGGAATATTATTATTCTAATACAGGAGTTAGAATAGTGCCAACAGTTTGCACAGCACTTTTACAGATATAAGGGAGACAGTACAATTACAATACATTTCAGTACAGAAGGAATATGAGATCCCTGCTCGTCAAGCTTACAATATAAAGAAATACTACAATTTTGGCCATATTCAATATATTTCAAAATCCCTTCTTCAAAGCCTATATTTCAATAAATTCAGTTGCAAGCTCTCAGTATGTGAACCCCTTGAGCTTTTCGACGGGAGATTTTGCATCAGAGCTTCAGCATAAAATGTGCTCTGAAATCCCTTCATCTCAAGCTCTCAACAATAGAAGAACACAGTCTTGAACATAATACTACACAAACATTAGATGTTGCTGATGGTTTAATTGCACATCCATGTAAACATTCACAGTGCAGGGAGGAAAAAGTATGTGAGGCCCTAGCTTAATGACTTCTCCCAGAATAATTGGAGCTTTTCAAAGTGAGCCAACCTTGACTTCCTCAGAGTGATGATATTGGATGTGTTGCTGAAGGGAGCTGTCCTGCCCTTAGAAAAACACACACCTGTTTTGGAGTTTACTGGTTTCTCAAGAAGCACTGTTTGATGTGAACCATGCCTTGCAGAAAAGAGCTCTCAGAAGAACCTACGATCAAGAATTGTTGACTTGCATGAAGCTGGAAAGGGTTACAAAAGTATCTCCAAAAGCCT